AAATGATTCAGAGCCATCATGTTAAATATTATGCATTAAATTTGGTGCTACTATGGATTTACCCTGGAGTATTTCTTACTATCATAAATGTTCTAACACTGACAATGAGCCCTCTCGCAACCTTTCTGAAGACTTATAAATGAGGTCTAATACATACATTGTGAAAAGTACTTTCACATACATCATTTGTTTTAAACTTTCTAACAACACAATGAAGTTTTACACTCATTTTATTAATGAAAGGTAACCAAGACTGAGAAATATTAAGTGATAAAGCCAACCTTACACATCTGACAAATGAAAAGTATGGGTCCAAAACCCAAGAATTTTTTATTTCAAGTCCAGTATTATTTTACTTACAATATGCTGTTTCACATCTTCCCTTTGTTTTAGTGTCTTTTAAACTGTGGTGTCACATGATTTAATATAATTAACACCTAAACTTTATGATTTGGTACAGTTTCTTTTTATATTAGGACTGAATAAGACGGAGTGGATAAGAGTGAGTCCAATAAAATAGTTATGAAACCTACCTCTTCTTGCATGTGACTTAGAGCAAGAAACTATCCCCCTTGGCCTCAGTTTTCTCATACGTAAATGAGAAATTTAATGTCAGTATCTAATGAAATAATCCATGCAAAACACTTAGAAGAATGCTTGGCACATAGTAAGTTCTTTTTTTTTAAAGATTTATTATTTATTTATTTATACAAGCACTGGGGTACAGTCGGAAGCACGGGAGGGTGAGAGAATTCACCAGAGCCAGAGTGGGGAATAGAACAGGCAGAGTGATGAAATACACTGCTGAGGGGAGCAGCGGGCATGGCAGGAGAGGTCTGCGTGCCATGTGGGACCATCGCTGGCAGCCGGGGATAGAACTGGCGCTGCAGAGGCTGCAGGCAGCTTCGCAGCCCAGCGCTCAACCATTGCGCCACCAAGGGAGGCCCACATAGTAAGTTCTTAGTAAGTACTAGCTACTTTGATGATTACATTGTAGAAAGCAATGGCTATTTGCAGGTACTTAACAGTTATTAAGTTATAAATGATATGATATTTTTCTCATTAATGGCACACTGATAAACAGGTGCTGGAATTTAATAAAAATGTTCTTTGCAAAGTTTTATGGATAAATCTGTGGTCTGTATATATCATGTTACATTTTACCTTTCACTAAACAATCTCTCTTTATAAGGCCTATCATTTAAAAAGTAGTTTTCACAAGTTTTGTGTTTTTTGTGTTTTTTTTTTTTTTTTAATTTTTTTTTTTTAATAGAGGCATGTTTTATTTATTTATTTGTTTGTTTGTTTGTTTTTGTTTATACATGCACTGGGTACAGTCAGAAGCGCGGGAGGGTGAGAGAATTCACCAGAGCCAGAGCGGGGAGCAGAGCAGGCAGAAGGACAAAGTACACTGCTGAGGGGAGCAGCGGGCGGCAGGAGAGGTCTGCGCGCCATGTGGGACCCTCCTCCGGTGGCAGGGGAGCAGCTGGGGATCGAACTGGCGCTGCAGAGGCTGCGGGCAGCTTCGCAACCCAGCGCTCAACCGCTGCGCCACCGGGGAGGCCCAGTTTTCACAAGTTTTGAAACAGCTATAACAGGTACCATGATACTCAAAATTGTAATTCAAAAGCAAACAAAAGGAATAACATTTCAAATACAATTAATAGGAATATTTTGTGGATACCAATAATATAAAATGATTGATATGAACTAGTTTTACAGATGTGATGAGAACTTTTTAATGCATTGAATGCATTTTCTATCTACTTAATATAACATTTATAAGAAATAGTCTTTTAAATATTTTTTAGCAAAAGTGGTTTCATTAAAAAAACATTATCAGTTTTGAAAACTGAGCAATTGTTAATAATGGAAATACACAAATCCTGGCACATAATATAAAGAATATTAATCTCCCCCTTTTCAAAAACATCTGATATTATAAGAGAAAAGAGAATATTAATTGCTTTCATTAATTTCTACCTGTGCATAGAACAAAAAAGTGGACTCAAGGGGTTAAAAAGTAATAATACCTACAACAATATACATTTCCTTCTTTTTCATTTATTTTGCAGTTACCCTTATGATAATGTGGTATCCTCTTACAATTTTTCCACTTTAAATTTTTGTCACCATTCCTATGTGAGTAAACTAGGGTGAATAGTCCCAACTGCTCTACTTTAAAGAAATACAGAACTGCCTATTAAAAACCATGCAATGCAATGTTATAACATGCAATTGATTTGGTCAAATTGTTTGACAAAATCTGTGGGAAAATAAAATTCAATTATTCACTTAACTGATTAACTAGTTTAGACAAAACTAAAAGTTTATTTGAGTCAAAACTAAAATAGGAGTTTTGGTAAGTCATTTTGGACAGAGTCTAAATGGAAGTCACTGACAGGAAAGTCCAGATCACATAGACTTCTAATTGTCTGCATATGAAAATTAAATGCAAAATTCAAATTATCATTTGAAACATGCATTACACTGTCACCCAAATTTATAAGGCACAGTATGAGGCAGACTAGTTGAAACACACTCTAATGGTATTTATTCATTTTCTGGAAATTTACATATAATATAAAAGCTGGCATTTTATAATTTCTAGAGCTATAGATCATTTTTAAATCATGATGATATTACACAAAACAGATGTGAAAACATATGCCTGCTCCAGTTGTATAAACTGTTTACTTGTCATAATAAATGGTGAGAGTTCCACTTTAACTGCACTCTCCTTTAATACTAAATCTATTTGAGGAAAATACATTTTATGTTAACATCACAAATATAACTGATAGAAATTGATATAAAAACCTCATTTGAAAGAAAAGTTTTACACTATAGTTGAGGTACAGCTTATTATGCCATTCCTGTCTATTAATATCCTCATCAGGATGTGTGACAAACCTATTTGATTGAAATGAGTAAAACTGTCATTCCACAGCAAGAGATTCAAAAATTCTAATACATACTGCTGTGTATTTTATGAAAATCCATTACTGTACATCTTTACTAGCACTCCAGGTGATTTTTTCATAAGATACAGCAGTGTGTGCTTGAGCACTGCAGCATACAGGGCAGCCTTAAAAGCCTTTCTAACTTATGGGATTTACAGTTCTGATAGAATCACATGTATCATGTGTGGATTGAGATTTTCCTAGAAAAGCTGCTTTATACCAAGTGGTCTTTTTTTTTTTTTAAAGATTTATTTATTTATTTATTTATTTATTTATTTATTTATTTATTTATACATGCACTGGGTACAGTCAGAAACGCGGGAGGGTGAGAGAATTCACCAGAGCCAGAGCTGGGAGCAGAGCAGGCAGAAGGACCGAAATACACTGCTGAGGGGAGCAGCGGGCGGCAGGAGAGGTCTGCGCGCCATGTGGGACCCTCCTCCGGTGGCCAAGGAACAGCCGGGGATCGAACCAGCACTGCAGCGGCTGCGGACAGCTTCGCAACCCAGCGCTCAACTGCTGTGCCACCGGGGAGGCCCCCAAGTGGTCCTTAATACCGCCCCAAAATGAGATTAAGGGTCTCAGGAACAAATTGTTGCTGGATTATAAATTAAGTTTCATCTTTAACTAGAATTTGATGCCTGTGTAAACATTTGTGTAGTTAAAATTCTGAACCTGACTGCTTCCATTCTCACAACTATTCTGAAATCAATTGTTTACATCTAGGAGGTCCAGAGGGGAAAGCCTTTTAGTATTTGGACAAGAAAAGACTAGACATGTGGCAGGGAAACCAACCACAGATCAATTAAAACCATACATTATTTCAATTCTAACTAAAATGCTCATCTATGTGATCAGGAAGCAAGTTTATTCTAGAGAAGAAAGAAAATTCTCCATTAAACTCTTCAGTGCTTTGAGTCTTTCGTCTATATATTATGAACATCTTTAATAGAGAGAGATGTACTTTATCATGATGTACAGACCATCTTATGACCTGATAATTTATGTTAGGCTATATTCTTTAGCTTATAATTATTGCCTAACATGGTAACAGTTATAATATACAGCTTATAATATATTTTGATGTATTTTTCTTTTTCTTCTTAAGCCTCTTTTATTTTTAAAGTTGTATTCAGCTTTAATATCAGGAAAGCATGACTTTGAAATTCTTTTCTTAAAAGATTTATTTCTTTATGAATACAAGAACTGGGGCATAGGCCAGAGGTGGGGGGGGGATGCGGTGAGAGAATTCACGAGACAGAGTGGGGAAGCAGAACAGGTGGATCTATTGAAATACACTACTAAGGGGAGCAGCGGGCGAGACAGGGGAGGTCTGCTGCGCCTTGTGGGTTAGCTCCCTGGAGGGCTGGGTATCTCGATAGAACTTGTGCTGTAGTGCCTGGCACACTGAGGCTTGATAGTGCTGTGTCTTTAACCCCTGTGACACCAGGGAGGCCTGACTTTGAAATTCTTACTCTCCCTAGCTTCTTTAAATATCCTAAAGAAAAACTGGATATTGTACAGAGTGACACATGTAGCTCAGTGGATAAAAAGCCAGGTTGACATTTTATCTATCAATATATGATATAATTGCTTTGTTGGATTAATTTGTTAAGTTTTCATTTGATGTATCCACATTAGAATATATATTTTTTAAATCACTTTTCAGTGTTGAGAAGAATATCTCTCCTCCATGACAGCAATTCAGTTTTTCAAACATAGTCAGCAAATGATGAATCACTTAAACACAGTGAAAAAAGTACATATACAATAAAAAAAATTTAGATGTCTCTGAGAAGTCATAATAAAAGGGCTTAGGGTATATTTCCCAACCACAGGCACAAACTTTGGGCTGATGTGTCAATTATAACATCAAATTAACAAACTTCAAGTAAACTATGTTTTTACATAGTTTATCTAAAATCATATGGATCCATTCTGACTTAAGGAAATGTGAATGCAACATAAAGTATTGGGATGTAATGAAATTAGTATTTGACCCTTATGTGTACATCAAATAAGCAAAAATAATTTTACCTTTACTTTCTCTTTGGAATTTTTTGATAGTTGGTCCATTATCCTGATCAACAATAAGTTCCTCTCTATTGCTGGGCATCATAACTATAAATAAGAAATATAGCTAAGTAATCTATGCAAAACACCCAAAAGAAAGGCACAAAAGCATTACATAAAGGGATTACTTTATACCCAAACAACTATCATGAATTTTTTACACTTCTACTCCTGAAAAAGTGGAAAAATTTCCTTTGGTATGATGATTATTTAATTAAAAATCACTAAGTCTCTTCATCATGTGAATTTTAAAGTTTAAGTAACACATAGTACATATAAAATTACCAACATACTCCCTTTAAATCATTTGAAATATTTCCTCTCTTAAAATTCATATGCAAGTTAGCTATTTGCCTCCATATTTAAAAATACATTTATCAAAATGCTTCTGAAAATAATTTACCATTTAATTTCATAAGGTTAAAACAACTGCATTTAGCTCACATAACAGTGTTTTTGCAAACACTGAGATATTAATATATCTCAAAATTAGTAGATGAAATGTAACATTTTGATGACTAAGTCTTTACAAAATATATTGAGAAGAAAAATGTGAATATTCATAGCTTATTGTTTAATTCTCTATATTTTATTATAACAATATATAGCTCTGTAAACAAAATGTGGTCACTTTAAAACAAAATGCATCAAAACTTTTCATTCATTTATAGACAATTTCACTATTATGCTTGGACAATTGTGGTATGTGTTATACATATAAAGTCTAATTACTACTAGGGAATTGGAATGTTTTATACTGTCAAGATCTTTTTTTTTTGGAACACTACATTGTTTTAGAAATATTTGATTTTCCTTCTAACTGTAAGATACCATTCTCTTATAATTTATTTATCACATAGTGTATTATCCTATGTGTTTTGCTTTTAGCCATAAGTCATTTAACAATTCTTTCCCTTTCCTCTGTATTATTCCCTCATTAATACAATGATTATACCTAGAGAAGAATTGTATTTTGGTTTCTTTATTTATTAATGGCCATCCAGCTATAGATTTGTGTATTGCTCAGACTTCCTTAAATCAATCGTACTCAATGTCATTACAAGAAGTTAGCCGTGTCCATAGAACAGAGTAGAGCTAGAAGACCTCTGTCAGTTCTTCCAGGAATTAAACTTACTTCTGTAGTACCATTAGTCTCAAGCTCTAGCTCTATCATTCTTAACCACAGCTGCACATTAGGATCTTCTGAGGAGATATTGAAAAGCAATCAAAATACTGCTGCCAGATTCTATTCCAAACCAGGTAAATGAGGCTCTTATTCTCTAGTCTGTCCTTGCAGATTTGTAAATGATCTACAGGTGGTATAATGGAGAGTCAGACTTAAGAGCCACTGAGTTTACTATGAAGCTAAACAGTCACAAACAATATATAATATTGACAGGCTAAGTGAGAGCTGGATGAATTTCTACAAGGGGAAAATTATCTTTATCCTGTGCCCGCACAAACCCAGAATCTCATCTCCCCTAATCCCTCAAATAGTTCTACTTACCCTCCCCCAATAAAACACACACAACATTTGAAAATTCTGAAGCATAAGTATTACTAAGTGTAGACATTTAAAATTCACATATACAGTGCCCCTACAGTAAGACTAAAAGAAAAGCAGAAATAATTTCCCTTAAGGAAAATGGATATTTAAGAAATCAGATTGTCTAGGTGCAGAAGATTAAGGAACATTTACCTAGGTCACTTGGTTTATAATTATTATATACTAAATGATAAGTTGCTACAGTTGAATGCATCTGGTATCTTCTGTCTACCTGAGTAGAATTAGAGAGCAGGATATGAAAAGCAATGTAAAGTCACACACACACAAAAAAATGGTGCACATCCCTTACATTTTCTCAGCATTTAAACTTATGATGTGTTTTTCCACATATTATTTCATCCAAACTCACAGAAATAACATGTATGAGGCAAGGCAATAATTATTTCCAGTTTCCATTTCTATAGAAACTCATGGTGATTAAGTGACACACTCAAAATCTCATAGTTAATGCTAGAAATATGATTAGATTCAAGTCTCCAATATGCCATATTAACATTATAGTATTTTCATAGTAGTATTTATGGTGTAAGATATCCGATAGACTAAAAAGAGATAAATGAAGGGAAAATAACGTAAAATATTTGTGACTTAAATTGTTGAACTTGTAGTAAATTATATACAAATTCACTTTTTAATAACTATTAAACCATCAACCATCTAAAGAATATTTTTTCTTTCTTTTGGAAAGATGATACAAATATAACAAGTACATTGTATCAACTAATTGTTAAATGACCAACATATTGAACTAATCACGTTATGTAAAAATCCCATGATATTATTCCCATGAGATCCAGCAATACAGTAAGTGAAGGACCTTCCAGACTGCTAACATTTTAAGTTTCATTTGATTGTTCTGCAACTGAAAAAAAATGACTACTACAAAAAGCTACTTATATTAAGGAGGCATCAGCACCTCTGCCTTCTTTCTCCCCTCTCTATTGCTAAAGAAAAATTTTCTGAAATAATATCGTTGGCTTTCTTTTTTCAGGACAGATACTCACCCATTCTCTCAGAATGATGTTCCATTTGAGAGGGTGAGCTTGAAACACTGCTGCTGCTGGGATGGGAGGAGGTCTGGCTCCCAGAGCGATGACTTTCTTCCAGAGAGGGAGTAGGAGAGGGAGTCTCCTGGATCCGTTCCTGACACAAAAGGAAACACAAAAGGAAATGCCATTTGTGCACCAATTTTTTTTGTTGGTTAAATCCATATTTGAAATATTGACCTCTGAAATACTGAAATATTTGTTTGTTTTTTAAAGATTTATTTTTTTTATTTATGCAAGCACTGGGTGCAGTCAGAAGCATGGGAGGGTGAGAGAATTCACCAGAGCCAGAGCGGGGAACAGAACAGGCAGATTGACAAAACACACTGCTGAGGGGAGCAGCGGGCGCGGCAGGAGAGGTGAGCAGCGGGCACGGCAGGAGAGGTCTGCGCGCCATGTGGGACCCTCGCAGGTGGCCGGGGATCGGACTGGCACTGCAGAGGCTGCGGGTAGCTTCGCAGCCCAGTGCTCAACCGCAGCACCACCAGTGGAGGCTCAATACTGAAATATTTGAAATACTGATCTCTCACTTATCCTGTAAACAATCATATCCATAATACCTGGTCTAAACACATACCTTTAGACAAAAGCATATATTTTGTTCTTATAGATTAATGGAATATTGTGATGATTAAATAAGGGTAGAAACATGAAAGGGCCTAGTGCCATGCTGGTTAGATGGTAGAGAATCAAGAAAAATTAGTTTCATTTCTTTCCTAGAAAAATCATAAAAGATTATGAACATAATCTTGTAGTGAAGGTTACTATTATTGCAAGCTCCTACACTGATGAAAAGTTCATGCCAAGGCTTGTAGGGTGACCTTATTCTTGGATTAAGGAGATCTCCCAAAGTTAAACACTTTAGAACACTAAAATTAAACTCCCAAATAGTAGCACTTAGTTTATGTTGACTTTTTCTGTGCAGATAAATATTATGGAAAAGAAATACCGTAATCTACCAGACCTTAGAAATTAACATTGAATTCTGTTCCCAAAATGGTTCGATAAACACAGGACACATGATGGGTTTCAAAACTAACACTAAGGCTAAAAATGTCAATTCCTTATAATTTATTTAAATTTTCATAGTTTAAAATAAAAATTTTTCTTTTATATACTTCTAGTCACTTCTAAGACTCTCAAGATTATGGTTTATGAAAATTGCTATAAATCATGATGTCATTCACTGTTTATGCAGAAAAAATGAGTAATTGTGACAAAATGATCAATAAAATATTCATAATATCCAAATAACTTGACCCATAAAAGAATTAAGTTTGAATATTTATACATGTATGCAATATATGTGACATGGCAATAGATATGCTTGGACAGAAAATGTTTATTTTATAAAATATATAATTCATCAATAATAAATTTATTAAATTAAATGTGCTAATAATCAATACTAATCATCATACCATTAAGAAATAGCTTGTCAAATATTGTGCTTATTGATTTTCATATTGATTTTGCATGACAAGACACACATTTCAAAATCCCTTAATGAAAACCACTTTTTATGCAAAAAATAAGAACATGGGAGTTAAAGATTACTATTTTGCTTGCAGACATTAATATTTTTCAATGTCTATCATCATGGCAGGCAGAATAATGGTACCACAAAGATGTCTAGTCCACATCCTAACAACCAGAACCTGAGAATATGTTACCTTACATGGAAAATGGAGTTTTCAGATATGACTGAGAACCTGAGATAGACAAATTACATTGAATTATCTTGGAGGAAGAAAGAGGAGTCAGAAGGAGATGTGATTATGAAAGAGAAGGCAATGTTGCTGACTTTGAAGATGGCGTAAGAGTACCATGAGCCAATAAATGTGGGTGACCTCTATAAAATGGAAAAGGGATGGACACATTCTTCCCTGGAAGCTATTGAAAGAAATGCAGCCCTGCCAACACACTGACTTTAGATCAGTGATATCCATATCAGATATCTGACCTAAAGAATTTTAAGATAATCAATTTGCACTGTTTTAAGTCATAAAGTTTCCTAATGTCACAGCACCAGTAGAAAAATAATGGTCATCAACGTTCATTTTTAAATGGCATTTCATAATATTGTTTAGTATTTAATTAACATTTCATAATTTTAATGAATAGTAGACTTAGATTATATTGGTTTCAATATCATAAGCTAATTATATGTCAACAATTATAAATGGATATTACACATTATAGGTTCTGCAACTGTTGTCATGCCTCAATATAATGATTCAAGACACAGCATTACACATTTTACATATATTAAATATACATAAAATAGTTATAATAACATATATATGTCAAAAATATGTGCAAATATGAAGGAGTGAAAATGTAACCCCAAAGTTATATAGACATGTAAATATTTGGCAAATTTTTATAAAGAAGAAACAAAAACAGAAGAAATGAATCAAAGAATGAGTTTTATTTCAAATTCTATTTGTAGATAGAGATAGATCATAGATATATAGAGATAAATTTATTTATAATCCTCATACACATCCCTTTACTTTCTGAAAAGACTAACAGTTCATTAGTTGTGAAACTCAGCCTAAATTGTGATGATTAATAATATATTATTTAAATAGTGTGTGTAGGGGGTGGAACAACATGGTGGCGAGGAAACGCTGCGAGTAAGATCTCCCATTAAAAAAAGTTAATAGGGAGGAAAAGCGGTAGGTCCCAGTGAGAACTGGGACACGGAAGATAAACAGATGACTCCAGCAAACTACCTGAAGAAGAAAGTTGCCATAAAAGAGGACTAGAAGGGAGGAAAGCTCAGAACCCTGCTACCCTCACCCACCCACAAAGTCAACACACTCCGACCAACAGGAAGGAGGAAAAAACAAAAAATCTAAAACAACCAACAAGAACAAACTACGCATCAAGCAGGACTGTGAGTAGAAAGGAACTATTTCAGCCACCACACCCCGTGAACTGGAGCTGTGGAGAACTCTGCAGGTTTCGCTGCAGAGGTGAGCGAATGGCTCCAGGCGCCATTAGAGAAAAACAAAGACTCCCGGAGACCTACACACAGTCCCAGGCCAGCCGCTAAGCTTGTGCAGAAAAGCTGCGTGCTTGAAAAGTAAAAGCTTGCAGCTGCCCAGGTCCCAGAGCCTGCGACCTAGGTTTGCGGGGAGATGTGCGGGGGCCCTCACTGAGGTGAATGTTCCTCCCTGAGTAATCAGAAACCAGGCACCCGGAAACGGGAGTGGTGTGCAAAAGGTGCCATTTCTGCGGACACTGAACTGGACTACAGCCCGTGTCCTGGACCTGAGGGCTTTGGAACTGAGACTCGGGGCATGAAATTCAGGGCATGGGTTCCCCACGACGGTGGCACAAGGCAGACACAGCACCCCAACCGGGCACGCAGGGAGTGCGTCACGCATCATCATTTTAGAACAGGGACATTTCTTCAGTAAAGACTGCCTGAAACCAGCAGAAGGCTCCGGAGGAGCCAGAGGTGAGCTGGGAAGTTCGCCCACACCAGGCCCCTTCTGGCCTGCAGTCCAAGCCCAGAGGGGGAGCGGGAACCCACCACCAGGGCAGACCAGGTGCGCAGGGGAGTGAGTCCCTGCATCGACATTTTAGAACAGGGACCTTTCTTCAGTAAAGACTGCTTGAAACTGACAGATGGTTCCCGGAGGAGCCAGAGGGGAGAGGAGAAGTTCACCCAAGATGCAGGCCACTCCCAGGAATACAGTGTCCCAATGCATAAGGCAAATTAGAAAACAGACATTAGGGAGTAGAAGAACCACACGCAACCTAGCAACTCCTCAGGAAAAAAGCATACCACAAAAAGAAAACCACCCTCAGATTGCAATGACAGTAACTTGGAAGAACTGAGCCTTCCCGAAAGAGATTTTAAAATTGCCATGATTAAAAACTGACAGAAGTCATAAAGGAAAACAATGATAAGGGAAAAATAATCAACGATCAGAAGAATGAAAATGAATCCCTAAAGAGGGAAGAAAAAGAAATGCAGGAGATCAAAGAATTAATGGAGGTACTAAAGAACTCTGGGAAAAGCAATGAAAGCAGAATAGGTGAAATGGAGAACGAATAAGTACTCTTGAAGACAGAAATAAAAAGAACCAAAACAGAAAAGGAAAGAGAAGTACGAAGGAAAAAGACAGAAGAAATACTTCGGGAACTATCTAACTCCATGGGGAAAGGAAATATAAGAGTTATAGGAATACTGGAAGGAGAGGAGAGAGATGTAGGAACAGAGAAAATATTCAAGGAGATAATTGAACAGAACTTCCCAAATGTGAAGAAGGAGCTGAAAATTCATACACAAGAAGCAAGAAGAACACCAAACTTCCACGACAAAAGGAAAAATACAGCAAGACACATAATAGTAAAGCTCCCAAGAATCCAGGACAAGGGAAAAATAATGAAGCTGACAAGAGGGAAGAAACAGATAACATTCAAAGGAAAACCAATCAGGCTGACATCAGAATTCTCCGAAGAAACACTACAGGCAAGGAGAGAGTGGAGGGACATAGTCAACAGACTCCAAGAAAACAGATGCCAACCAAGAATACTCTATCCCGCAAAGCTCTCCTTCCTCTATGAAGAAAGAGTAAGGACCTTCCCAGACAAACAGAAACTCTGGAATTCCATTATGACTACACCCCCACTCTAAAAAATACTGCAAGGAGTCCTAAAGCCAGAACCTCAGAGGGACAAATAACAACAAAAGAAGGCCAAAAAAAAATTTATTAAAAGAATAAATAAATAAAATCAAAGGAAAGACAAACACAATGGCAAATACAGATGCTAACATATCAATATTAACTCTAAATGTAAATGGACTGAACTCATCAATAAAAAGACACAGAGTCGCAGGCTGGATTAAGAAACAAAACCCAACCTTTTGCTGTCTCCAGGAAACACATTTAGCTACAAAGATAAAAATAGACTCAAAGTCAAAGGATGGAAACAATCCTACAAGCAACAGACCAAAGAGAAAGCAGGAACAGCTATACTTATATCAGATAAAACAGATTTCAAACTCAAAAAGATAAAAAGAGACGACAACGGTCACTACATTATGATCAAGGGGACAATACTTCAAGAAGAAATAAC